GAATTTCGCTAGATTATATCTAAAACAAAACCTTGCGGATTAGATAATTTCTGCTTTGTGAGTGTGAGCATATACGTATCCAGAAACGTCGTTCTCCAGTTCTTCAATGGGCATCGTGCTCCTCTGCGTGTCATCTGGCATATATTAACCAATGAGGACAAAGCAAGCTGTTATTTGGATGTTCTTTGTCCTGAGATGTGTGAGTACACGTGCCTTCGGAAAATAGTTTTAGAAATTATCATCTTTTGTTATGTCTGCGAGAAAGGTGATGTTTTGGGGAGGAATCATGACAAATGGCCACACTGAGCTGCATATCTTTCAGGGCAGTACTGTCATCACTTGGAGATAAGGATTAGGTACCGAAACCCCAATTTAGACTGTTTAGGTGTGTTATTGGCCCAGAGATGCTTTGCAAGATGCCTCTTGGCAATGCAGAATACTTGGCAAACGCCAGATATCATTCCAATGGTTTAGCCACCTTACTCAAATCAGATTAAACATGTGTGGAATACTTTAGGCACCAAATTTCAACATGCTAAATTCCTCCCGAGACCTTCTATGAGCTGAAAAGTGTTTTATACAAGACGGGCATGCAATTCCACAAGACTTGATAAACACTTGTATCTATGAAATCAAGATGCTGATTTGCTTGGTGTTTACTTCAATATTTTGCGAATGACCAACTGCCAAACATTGTAATTTATGTTAACTAATGCTTTTGTACAAATTTCTATTAATAATTTTTCGTTAAGTATCAGTTGCATTATATTTCTGTCATTATCTTTAATTCTGATGCCCAAATATCTATGGTGAAAGTTGTCATTCATACTTTATTTGCCAGAATACAGCACAAAGTCCGAGATCCGGACTCTTTGGGACTTCGGCAATTCTGGATTTGGAAATTTTCTGGATATTAGACATCAATTTAAATGGCAAGGGGCATGCAAAAATTATTTTTAAGTATGAAATCGATTTAGAAATAAAGAGCATTTATGGTCTAAAGAGTAAAAAAATTACAAATATATATATATATATATATATATATATATTTGTTTACTTTATTAAGCATTTCTTCAATGAAGTTTTGTTAAGTTGATTTGTTTTTGTTCTAACACTCTTTTTAATTCTACAAAAAGCATAATTTCTTGTTCAGTTACAAGTTCCACTGTTAAAGTCCCTAATTGCTGTGTCGAGAATACCAACTAACTTGTCAATCGAAATTTTTTCATTTTCAATAATCTCTCTGTCACTTTCTTCGCTATGGGTAGCAGTATTTTCTGGATCTAGAACCATACTACAGATTTGGCTGTCCATTAATTGATTGATGATTGTTATGTCATCTTCATTTATTACAGCTTCTCTACATTTCTTTATAAAATCAGTTAACTGGAAAATTTCACCTTTAGTTTTGCAATATCCGAAAACCATCAAATTTACAGCCATTATCTTCATGGGTCTCACTATGAAATATGGTAGCTGGTCATACATTATGCCAAGCATTTTTTAACGTATCTGGGGACACATTCTCCCACGATCTTGCGATGCTCCACACAGCAAATTTTATTCTGAAATATTTCAAAAATTCTTGAATAGTCTTGCCATTGTTCAAGAAATTTAATATGGATTTTAAAAATGCTTATTTATATTTGCATTTCAGCATGCATACTATTCCGATATACGGCTGAATGATGGTTGTACAGTTTGGAGAGAAGAATAATGTGGATACATTATCTTTCACTAAAACTTAAAGTGAAGTATGAGCCGAACAGTTGTCTACAACAGTTGTCTATTTTCGAGTCATCAGGTAAACCAACTGAATTCAAATGTTTCCAAGCCTTGGGTATACAAATAAATTGTTCATTAACGCTTGTGTCGTTCATGCTGTTTTATTTGCACGATATATAACAGGGAAAATTGTACTGCCTTAAATGGTCGTGTATGTTTTCCGATTACAAAAGTTTGCTCTTGTGCATTCTTACAGCATTTGTGCACACTAAAATTGTTAGTCTCACTCTGGAATCTTTGACACTATTCTGTAGAGGTTACCAAGGTATTTAGCTGTACATATTACAAGAAAAGACCAGTTTCATCAGCATTGTAAATTTGTTCTGGAAATAATTATTCGCTAGTAATGAGTTTAATGAATTTATCTGCAAATTGTTCAGCAGCTTCGGTATCAGCTAAAGCTTTTTCACCTGTAATTTTTAATTGCCTTATATCATGCTTTCTTAAACTTTTTTCAGTCGCGACCCGTTTTTATCACTGAGATTTCTTCGCGACCCCAGGGCCCCATAATATATACAAAAATTTTGTGGGACCCCGGTAAGTATTGTGCAAATCCGATACACACATGAGTGAAACTGTCAATTTTTTCACTTGTACTGTAATATATTATTTCAGTTTTAGGTCATTAACTTTAATTTATAATTTTAAGACATAGAAGAACAAGAAAATTTTAAATAAGTAATAGATTAAATGACAATGTCATATGCAAAGCAAGGAAAATGAACTTTTGTATTATAAAAAGAATGCATCAAAACGTTTTTATTTTTTTCATTGTCTGTATTGTTTTATCTTTATCTATTTTCAGATACATTGTGTAAAATATTTGGTAATTCTAAAACTATTATAGTAAGTTAAAGAAATATGAAAACTGCTAAATTTTTGGCAACCTATAGTTTAAGAAACCCTGCCTTATACCATGGCGATTTTTAAATTTGGTTAACCAACCTGTCTAATATATGCTCTAAGTTTTTAAGTTCATTTCTTCTTGAAATATTTTGGCTTGAGCCATTAGCATTGGACTCATCAATGGCATGCCCTTGCTGCGACACTGTCTGACCCATTCAATCATCTCTTTGTCATGATCGTTGCTTTTAGCATAACGAAAAATTTTTCTGTTATTCATTGCAAGTGGGGTGTCAGGATCCACAAAAATTGAAAAAGTGCCTTTTTCTTATGTCATATATAGTTGATTTTCCAATGCCATACTCTTCGCATAATTTTGAAACAGAGACCTTTATCCATTTTTTGTAGCAATTCCCCTTTTTGTTCAATAGACATTGAAACATGCTTTCACTTTGTAGATTCTTTCTCAGCTCCAGAATTAGAAACTCTTTTCGACATAATCGAAAGTTCAAGCTTAATTTTTATAAAATTGCTGTAATAATAACAGTCTGCAAAAAATAATTATCTGGATCAAATTAGATTAAGGAGCAGTGCAGTCTTCTGCATTAACTAAAATGCCTTAGAATCAGTAAAGATAATTTTAGCCTAGCTTAACATTATTGGCTATGTATCATAAGACTGGCGATGAAAGACAAGTTGTTCCACTAAATTTTTGTCTTGCTCCTATTGCATACTGAATTAAGCCTGAATTGTATTAGTTTAGTTATTTACTATACCTATGTCTATTTCTTGCACATGCATAAGCTAATCTGAGTCCTGAATAAATAAACTCCCACACATACTTAAGGCTTTATCTATGGCCGGCACTAGATAACACCTGATGCAGTCTCTGGTCCTAAATTCTGCTGCAAAGTGCCTTCCTAAGTTCTAAATCTTCGCCACCCCTAAATTTTAGATCTCAGTGCATTCCCTAAATTATAAAAAAAAATCTCAGCCGTTAATTTTGCCGCTTGGTGCTTCGCCAAATCCAAAAAATTTTGTCTTCCTTAAATTCTGCCATACGGTGCGGCCATATTCTGCCACCCCTTCTGGGTTTATATGAATAACATACCAGTTATTCTTAATTAAAATAGCACAAAATGTAATCTCTTGGCATATGAGTTTCATGAAGAAAATCTATTTTTAGCATATGAAAAGAAAGTTTTGTTAAATTTTTCTTTGTCATCACTTCTTAGAGCATTTGAAAATATAATCATCGCCAAGCATAATATTAGCATAAAAGATTGCCGTACTCTTCTTATTCAATTACTAATATAAAAAAAAGTATTTATACATTGCTGCATGAGTCATTACTGAAGTTGTTATGTATTGATAAATATGCGGTGATAAAAGCAAAATATAATAGTGACTCGCCAGGTCGGCTTCAGGTATGTAAAATAATAGTGGATGAATGTTTTGGTTTGAGGTATATGTGCCAAGCAGATACTCAGCTATGGAGCCAAATTATTAATCTCACAAATTTATGCTTACATAATTGTTTATTCATAACGAGTTATTTTATTTAGTGTCTAAGTGAAATTAAGAATCGGAATTTTTACATGAAAATCTCCACATGTTTTATTATGGAAGGAAAAATTAAATGTGCATGCGTAAAGCATTCCCCCCCCCCCACAAAAAAAGTTTGGTCTTTGAGGTCCGGATTTTAGATCATTCCGGATATTGAACGTCTGGATCTCGGATTTTTTTACTGTATACTTAATTTTGGCTACTGAACACTGCAGTACAACATTTATTCTTCCACTGAGCATGTTGATGGCACTGCAATAATTGCAAAAAAATCATGGTAATACTCAGCTCAAATATGTGTTTTCTTGGCCATTATATGGGCTAAAACTGTCCTTTGTTAATGCCAATTACTACATTTGTTTGCTTTAGATCTGAAATGATTCCACTTTTTTTCCTTCCACACCTTTTGAAGATAACCTTTACAAACAGAGGGTAATTTTCATCTCATTTGCTGAGTGATTTAAGGATCATCTGGTATTTCTATGGCTCACAATGCAACTACTTAATCATTTAATGCAACCACTTAATCGAGCTGCCATTAAATGAAATTCATTTCTTTTTCTTTGATACTGTAAATGGTTTAGTTTACATCACGTGTTATGTTCCCTCAACTCACAGATTTGCTTATGATTCTGTGATCTTTGATCATGATTTCTGCTGTAAATTTATTGCATGTAGGAATGTTTTCTTTCACAATGTTTTTTGGGGGGAGGGGGAAGGAAGAGGGATTGTATCAGTGTTAAATATAAGTAAATAATTTATAAATATTACATATTATAAAATTTTTATTTTTGTTTCACGTTTAGGAATATTTTAGAAAATGGGTTCCCTGAAACTGACTTGAGTGCATTTGAGGCAAGTTTCAAATTTCTGTTTTTTTTATTTAAAATGAGAAGTTATTTATTGCTACTGTCATTAATATTTGTTAATGTATGAGTAAATATATGTGAATATATAAAGTAAATCCTTTTATTACATAAACTTTGATTATTTACTTTCTTTGATAAATTAAAGTAATTAGAAAATTTAGAGCAATTTAGAAATGTCATTAATAAAGCATGAACTTTTACATGTTCTAAATAAAAAAGCTAATGTAAATATGATCACCCCAAGCCTTACTAAAGATACTTTGAACATTTGTAGTTGCCTTTTTTGCCGTGTATTAAATCAACTCCAATTCAAAAGCATGCAGCTATTTGTGCTTTCGTGCAGCTACTTTAGTGGAAGTAAATTTTCAAAATGTGCCAAAATCTGAAAATGATGTGCTTAACATATTTTTAATATTCTTCAGTTTTAACAGGCAACATCATCATTTTCATATGCCTCTTCCCCCCCTCTCCAACATTTTTTGTAGCCAAATCGTATTTTTGTTCTTAAAGTAGAATTTTAAAATATGCACTTGTGGAATTTGCCTGCTGTGGAAAAAATTGCATAAAATATCTGCAAGAATAGAGAATTTGATTACAAAATTGTTAAAGGAAACAGTTGCTAACCACAACAAAAGAGAAGCCTGCTTGTAAGTAGCTTCCTAAATTGATTTTTGGGATGAATGCTTAATTAAGCCATAAAGTATGTATATTTGTAGCAAACAATCTTTTGCAATTGGAAGTTATGATTTTTTTTTTATCTCTAAAAGATTATGAGGCTTAAATTGCTCACTACATAAAAAAACTTCTGCCTTATGTCTTGATGATAATCCCCTTAAAACTAAAGTAATAAAGTTCAGAACTGTTATCAAGTTTTATTGTCTGAATGCATAGTAATTGAACCTTAAAAGAATAGATGATTGTTAGTACTGTTCATACTAAATTAGATCAGAAATTTTTCAGTAACTTCATGGTGATATCAGCGAGTTCAAATGTACAGAACAATATCACATGCCATTTACTGTTTACGAATGATTCATATAATATAAGCGCTTTGATTCACAAGTACAGGATTTCTCGGTTACCATAAAAACCTTTTAAGAGTTAAATTAGTTTAAGAAAATGTATAATTAACTGTAGGCGTGAAGGTTTTTAAGCATTTTCAAACCCAGGAATTAGTCAGTCAAATCACATGAAATCATATACAAAATTTAAAGATCAGTGGTTGGGGAAGAAGAATGGGAAACCCTCGGACCCATCCCACCAAGATGCTCTCTTTATAAATTTGGGGTAGAGCTAAGCAAAGTCATACATTCACCTGTGTGGTGCCCAAGGCTCTTGACAATGACAGGCGCAATATTGCCTCCTTGCTGCGATGAATTTCGTGGGCTTTTTCTGATATCAGAGAAGCAGATTAGTCACAACAATAACAAAACACAAAATAATTCTATATCACCTTCTTATCATAAAATGAAGGAATAAAGTGCAGAATCGCCCACTTATTTGTTTAGCATTTGTTTGGCACTTTTTACAAAAGTAAGAAGATTGGATTGGATTTTGTGACATGGATAAAGACAAGAGAGTGTGCAATACCATTTTTGTGCAATTCTGGGATATTTTTTTTAAAGTGAAAATAGGTTGATGTGTACATGGATACCAAGTATGTGCAATTCTTAAAAACGTGCCAAGCTGTGGGTGATTCTGCACTTTCCCCAAATCAAGAAGGATTCCTGGCTTTCACCCAGGCAGCCCAGGTTCAATTCCCAGCATGGGAACCACTAATTGACTACAGTGCTGCCTATTGATATTTCCTGTATGGTATAGGATACCAGACTCTGGCCAATACCCATTCTTGCTCTTGCGTGCATCCAGGAACACATTTTTCAAAAAACCACACTCTGCTTGCTCCCATGTAAACCATTGGGTTTGCAATAACGGTAGAAAATCAGCTGAGATTTGCTCTCAGCCTCCTGTTTCTATTTCTGCCTCTTTTTTCTCTCTTTTCCAACGGCATTGTTTGAGCAGCTTCCAGTTCTCGTTTGACCTCAGAACTAGTTTTTTCCTGATCAGCCACCTGTTCTCCGGCAATGTTCATCCCTTCCTGACCAACACCTAATATAAATTTTTCTTCCTTGTTTTCTCCCCAGGAAAGATCACTTTGCTTCCTCAGGAGTCTAAAATCTCAAGGTGTAACTAATGCTTCTTCGCTCAAATTATCTGGTATACTGCTGCATGTACACTGCACACACACACACACACACAAAAAAAAAAAGGCACTTTTATATCTTCCATACTTCTGGGCTGATTGACGAAATTCAGCTTGCATTTTTCATGTCTCAAAAGCACGACTATGTATTAGATTTATATATAACATTGTTCTAATTAGGTATTTTGACACAAAATTGGACTTTTTCTGAAATAATATACCAATTTTTTTTCCATATTTCAATTCTACAACTCAAATTATGCCAAACTACCAAGTTTTGTGAAGATCGCACGAGTAGTTTTTTAAAAAATTAGCCTAAACATTTTAGCTCCTCAATGTTAATTGAGTTTGGTATATATTAATCTCTCTTTTTTTTATTAAGCTTATTTCATCCTTCCTTTCACATTTAGAAATTCAGGTTCATTCCAAATAAATTCATCCATTTTTTGTGATTTATTTTTAAATAATTTTTATAAATTTTTCAAAAAAATTTGAATCATAATCTGTAAAATTTTTAACATCATCTTAAAGTACACATGTTTCTAAGCATACCTGCAAAAAATTACAATTTTTTATTAAAAATTTCTGAAGATATATGTGAATTTATATATTTGCGTGTTTTGAAATTTGGCATATTTGTTGAAAGCGATAGAATATCAGATGTGGTTTAGACACTTTGCTAAAATTATTTGGAAGTAGAAATTATATGACTTTTTCTGCTCATGCACAGTGTACAAAAGTAGGAACGAGGTGTCTTTTTTTCTGCTCCGGCATAATGGAAGGGAAAGGAAAATTGGTTGCCATATACTAAGAAGTTCGCCAAGTGAATTATTCTTGGTGCAAACTGAAAAAATTGTGCCAAGATAAATTTGTAAATTTCTCCGTAAATTTTGCACGAAATTTTACAAAATTTAATATCTAGGCATAATTTGAGTTGTAGAATCAAAATATGGAAAAAGATTGGTATGTTATTTCAGAAAAAGTCTGATTTTGTGTCGAAATACCTATGTTAGAGCAATGCTATATATAAATCTAATATATATCCTAAGTCACGCTTTCAAGAGATGAAAAATGCAATTTGAATTTTGTCAATCGGCTCTGTATAACGGGAGATATTGAACTGTACCATTTTATTTTTCTATAGTCTACATTTACATAAGGCTGCACCTCTTCGTCTCCTGAACAGATATTTATTGGTAATGAAACTAATTGAGCTTCTACGTGGGGTCCAACAGTGAGCCTTAATAATAATAATTTACCCCCCCCGACTCCAAGTATTTCTCAGGAATTACAGATTTTTGGATTACAGTAATTTCTGCTCTGCTGTCAATCACTCCATTAAACCTAGAGTTGCCTATCCTTAAATTTGCCCTGGGCAATTCCTGTTCGCACTACTCAGTGTAATTTTTTCTGTATAATTAGCTAAGCTTCATCCCTATACAGATTTTATTTAAACCCTTAACTTCCACCAACTTCATATAATCTTTCTCACTTCTTGTTTTCAGTTTCACTATCAAGTTTATTGCTGGACAAAACCCTTTTATGTGCCCTTCACCCTGACACTGAAAACCTTTCACAATTTTCTTATCTTTTTGCATCATACCCTGAGGTTCTAAAGTTTTTACTCCTTTGTATTTCTCCTTTCCGACTCTACAGTCCGAACTGAAATTTACCTTACTCTTATTTAGTTTCACTAATTTCTCTCCCTGTCTGACCAATTCATGTTTTGGGCCTGTTTTATTTACTTGAGGAGTGCTCGTATGGTAATTTCTAGGCATTGTTGCCACACATTTATCCAAATCATTGGCAAGCTCCGATGGAGATAACCAATTTTCTACCTCTTTTAACAGTATATGTGATTTAACATTTGTGGTTAACTGATCTTTTACCTGATCCACAATCTGAAGTTCTCTTAGCTTTTCAAAAGTTTTAACTTTTCTGAATTCCAAATAGAAATCAAGTGCTGCCTCAACCCTCTCTGTATGCTGAGTATAAGTTTCCTCATATTTTTTCATATATCTTTCTAAATTCTTTCTATGTTGTAATGGGGTGATCCAAAATTCCTTTACTACTGTGTCTTTACTGTAGTTATCTAAATATTTTTCACCTAAAGCTGAGATAACATTTTTAACTTTGGCTTTTAAACTCTGCAAAATAATCTTACTCTTGTGTTCTTCGAGAATTTTATATATAACATCATTTCTGCATGATGGAAAAAGAACAGCCATTCCTCAGCTTTTGATGGAGGGTCAATCATGACTCCTTTTATCATTTTAAAATTTTTCGAAAAGTGATTTGCCTTGTTCTTCGAATTTGAAATCCCTTCATCCTCTGAGACCGATTTCATCCCTTCTTTATCCCTTATCTTTCTACTTTGAATTTCTAATTCCTTAATTTTTATCTCATGCTCTCTCTAACTGCTTTTCCCGAAATTCCATTTCTCTTAATCGGTCCTTAGCCATGCCTGCTTCTATTTTACAAATTTCTAGTTGTAGCTCCATTTACTTTAATTTTGAGCCTGCATATTGCTAATGCTTTCACCCAATTCCTCTGACCACCTCTCTCTATTTTTCCTTTTAGGACCCATATTATTAATACAGTCAAAAGTCGTTAATCCGGACTCGTCGGGACTTCGGCGATTCCGGATTATCGATTTTTCCGGTTTATAGATCATGAGTTTAAATCTCGTAAGATGGCATGCAGAAATTCTAAAATTAAAAATATGAAACCGTAATTTATGAAATAAAGAACAATTATGATCTAAAGGGTATCAAAATTTACAA